TTACACAGGTAGCCTAACAACCGTGACTCAAGCGCGAGAAAAAAGGAAAGATCTGCATTTGTTGTTCTACTCGTGTTTACACATGCAGTTGTGTTCGCATCTGCCGAGTCATGATTTGCTGTTGCTATGTGTTTTTTTTTTCTGGTAGCCATTGTAACAGGGAGACTTTGGATTGAATCAATAAAACCCAGTAAAAAGTGGTCTTAGCTTCACTGACTTCGGCATACTGAATAAGGAGCTAGCCAATTTAATTCTGAAATTTCCCATTAGAAGCTATACTTCATCCATTCCATGTCAGTAACGACGTTTCTTTATTTCTTAGCCGTGGCTGGGCAAGAAAACGAGCGCAAGAATATCAAAATGTTATTCGTTCCAGCAGACGTTATGAAAGCACTGCGTAAAAACCTCACCACGAAAGACTTACCCCCAGGCCTACCAGGACAGGGTACTCAGCGCTGGACCCCAGTCCGCCTACCAGGCGATAAGACTCACACGTTTGAAATCCGCATCAACCCTCGTACAGCGCACAAGCTTAACATGAACTTTCAGCATTTCAGAGTTGGTCGTGGCCACGGGCTACTTTTGGAGTTGAAAAACGTGTCCCTCTCGACCAAGGGAAAGACTGTTCTGGACAGGCTGGTAGAGTTTTATAAAAACTGCGGCAGTGGCCGAAGCCATCGTATAGGCATGCGCCCAGGCATGCATATGCTGCACAGATTAGGACACTTCCACTCCACCATGCACCATTCACTTTTGCTACCTGGCGACGTTCCGTTACTGAAGCGTATACAAACCGCGCTGGAGCGTTTTTTCCCTAAGCGTCATGACGGATCAGTGGACGTATTCCAGCACAAAGATTCGAGCGGTGCAGTTCATTTTCTACCGTTTGAAGAAGTCAGAAGAGAAGTGAATAATCTTATAAAACGAACGTTAGTTAAGAGGGATTGTGTTAAGATCAGTACCAACGCATTGACTCGAGCACTCGATGCATTCAGACGGCAGCTCAATAACGACACAACAGCGTCAAGTACTCAAAACGAAAGCTTCAACGTTAGTGATGAGCCTGACCGTGAAAATAGCGACAGCAATGGTGAGGAGGGCGACGATGAAGGCGAACAGAAAGACCAAGTCCTTTCATTTTCAAGGAATCTTGATTCGTTTAACCCGCACCCGGTCAACAAAGTGAATCTGACTTCATCTTCGGCCATGAACGTGCCAAGCGATGCTGCTGCTACTAAAATAGTTTCTGCGCTCGCCGACTTGAGGAAAGAAATCAATGATCTATCAAGCGGTTTTAGACAGATTCCTAAAGATAGTGACAGTACGGGCATCA